AAAACAGGCAAAGACCATTTTTCTGTGTGTTTGCCACAGGCAAAGTGTCAGCCATCACCTTTGTAGTGTGGCCAAGACTCACAGCCAGGCAAGGGACCAGAAAGATTTCCACAATGGGAAAGTGGGGCTTTAGGGTCACCCCATTTAAAGCTGTGTGGGGAAGGCATTGCCCAGCTAACTGACAGCAGGAACTCTTTTGCCATTGGTTCAAGGAGCTTGCTGGCCTTCTCTCATTGGCCCTAATTTTTTTTCTAAATTGTTTGATAAACAGGAGACACAGTGAATTCAAGATGTCAGCTATTAATCAAGTCTTAGCCATTTGGGCAGATTGCCATTATTGGCATCCTGAGCCATTTTTGAAAGATACTGTGGATCTAACTTCCTGTGAGTCTGTGGCCTGCTAGCCTGGTGACGAGAGATGATGGGCTGGTTTCCTGGGCTGCTTGCTGCAGAGCAGAGGTTGAAGTTCTTAGTTTATACCTCGTATCTTACCAGTCTCCGACATGTGCACAGTATATGTACTCAATATACATATCTTCTAACCTTTTCCCTTACCTGGCTTGTTAGCTCTATGAGGACAGCTAGTAGAATCTGCTTTGTTCGTTGACCTGGTTTTGGTGTCTAGAGCAAAGTGTAACACCCAGTAACTACCCAGCACATGTTTGCAAGATGAGTGGATTTCAGGTACCTAAAAAATATTATGCTGCTGGTGCATATATTTTTAAATTTGCTGTTATTCTCAGACATAAAGAAGACCATTCAGATGTAACCACACTCCACTAGTGTTGCCATGTCTCACTTATGCATATCCTACTGTGTCTACCAAAGTCTGACCTAACGTTAGTGATTGGCAGGTCTGAGACAGAGTGAATTCATCTCCTCCACACTATTATGTGGTTTTGGAATGCACACATTAAGACTAACTTGGGGTCAGGGATACAGCTCAGCAGCACAAAAGACTGCCTGGCAAGTGCATGGTTATAAATTCAATCCCCAATATCAAAAGAAGAAAGAGAAGGAGAGGAAGAAGAAGAAGAAGAAGAAGAAGAAGAAGAAGAAGAAGAAGAAGAAGAAGAAGAAGGAGAAGGAGAAGGAGAAGGAGAAGGAGAAGGAGAAGGAGAAGGAGAAGGAGAAGGAGAAGGAGAAGGAGAAGGAGAAGGAGAAGGAGAAGGAGAAGGAGAAGGAGAAGGAGAAGGAGAAGGAGAAGGAGAAGGAGAAGGAGAAGGAGAAGGAGAAAGAAGAAGAAGGGGAAGAAGGGAAAGAAGAGGAAAAAGAGGAAGAAGGAGGAGGAGAAGGAGAAGGAGAAGGAAGAAGAAGAAGAAGAAGAAGAAGAAGAAGAAGAAGAAGAAGAAGAAGAAGAAGAAGAAGAAGAAGAAGCAGAAGCAGAAGCAGAAGCAGAAGCAGAAGCAGAAGCAGAAGAAGAAGAAGAAGAAGAAGAAGAAGAAGAAAAAGAAGAAGAAGAAAGAAGAAGAAGAAGAAGAGGAAAAAGAAGAAGGGGAAGGGGAGGGGAAGGAGAGGAGGAGGAGGAAGAGAAAGAGGAAGAGGAAGAAGACAAAGTGAGCTATATCCTCAACCTTTTTAATATTTTTAAGAATTCTTTTATATTCTTTGTTTTCAGACAAATTCTCTCTAGGTTGCTAAGGTGTCCAAAATATGTCGGAACATGGCAATCCCCCTACTTCAGTCTCCCAGAGTGCTGGAACTATAACCCTATGCCTCCACGCTTAGCTTCCTTTTAATTTTTTTATCCTGAGGCTTGATCTCACTATATTGTCTAAGTGGCCTCGAATTCATAATTTCCCTGACTGCTGAGTAGCAGGGTCTACAGCCACGCCTATCTGCTTTTACATTTTAATAACATTCTTCTTCTTTCAAATGGAGTCTCCATATTTTGCACAAGTGGTCTTAAACTCTGGGTGCAGGCGATCCTTCTTGCCTCAGCCTCCTGAATCAACATGAGCGCACCATCACACCCTATTTCTTCTCACGTTCTCACATATGGCAGAACATGATCCTAGCACACAAAGAATTTTATCACTTACCCATAGATTTGTTCAAGTATGACAACACTACAATCTTGTGGCCACAATCAGCCATAGTTAATTAGTAGTGCTAATCAGCTAAAAAAGTATTTGGATTGTGATCAAATTTTGATCTGTTAGTAGAGCCAAATTAAAATAATCAAGACCTCAAGTGGTCCCAACTTATAGGTGTCACACTTGATGGGGCTATGGACAGTGAGGTTATGATCTGTTAGAAGGTAGAAATCCGTGAAGGTAGAGACAAAGCCATGAAGCATGAGTCATCATTCCCTGTTCTGGATCTTCACTCTGAAGCCCCCAGAGCATAACAACCTTGGAAAAAGCTAGTAGAAACAGATCATCTGTGCGTGTTCTAAGCCCACCCCAAACAAACTTCAGGAGTGCTACTTTCCTGGGTTAAGTTGCATTTGTGATATCAAAATGAGAAAAGAGAAAGAAAGGAGGACCAGTCTTTGGTGCCAATTTCTTATGCCTTATTAGAACAAGATCATGTTAAATCAACACAAACAGCAAATGCCAGCCAGGACACAGGCAGCAGAAACTGCATAACACAGTGGGGAAAGAACAGAAGCAAATCCTCCAACAGTGACCTGTCCAGAAGCACTAAATATCAGTACTCGACTTCAGTGAGTTCAGGTTTGGGATGGTGGTACTGTTTTCATTTGGAGGTAGAGTCTCAAGCACCACAGAAATGGCTGAAACTCCCACTGACCCTCAGAGGACTGAGGGAAGAAGGGCATCTGAAAAGAGTTCCCTGCTGCCTCTGTTGGGGTCGGGCCACGTCTCTCTAGCGGCACTGCTTCTTGCAGCAGCACTTCTGCTGGCAGCAGCCCTTCGTACAGCCACAGCCACAGGAGCCACAGCCACAGGAGCCGCAGCCACAGGAGCCGCAGCCACAGGAGCCGCAGCAGGAACGGTGGCAGCAGATGACCACAGGTTTACAGCAGCAGCAGCAGCAGCCACAGCAACTGCCACAGCCACTGCCACAGCAACTGCCACAGCCACCACAGCTGCCACAGCCACAACCTCCACAGCCACAGCAACCCATGGTGTCAGTAGAGAGAACACAGGTGAGGTAAGGACTCTGGTAAGGCCAGGACTCAGGAGAGCAGGAGTCTGATGCGCCCCTGCTGGGCTCCCCTTATACGCTGCTCCTCCTTCTTTGTTTTCCCCCAGTTTCCATGGAAGCATCTCAGAAGACCTTTTGCCTACTGCCTTGTCAAGGATCTAGGCGTGATAGCACTGCTGTGTCCAGCACTGCGATCTCTTAGCAGATCTGAAGTTTCCTCCTATAGCTGGAATAATTATGTGATGCATCTTAGTGCAGAAGTGGGGAAATGATGGCTACAGAAAACACAGCTTCAGGCCTGACTGTGACCCTGGGTCTCGCACACTGGCCGTGCTGGGTGAGATCGGAGTGTCCCGTGCACACAGCTGAACTGCTGGGGGTGCTGAGCAGCAGAGCGCTGAGCAGGAAGATCCCCGCCAGCCCCTGGTGCTGAGAGGCGTGTCAGAGGTGGAAGCATAGTTCAGGTTTCCTCCTCCCAGGGTCAACAAGTGAGCTTATCCAAGAGACCCCAGCTGCGAGCTGAAGAGCACCCGCACTCAGGAAACTGTCACCCCATGAAGCTAGGTCATCTCAGATATAGAACCTTCATTGTCAGCCCAAGAAGGGCAGCATGGTGTTTAACCCTGAGAGCACATGGGCATCTTCCAGGACTGATTTAGTTCCCTAGTGACCAAGGCAGCCGTGTGTTCAGGTCATCAAGCAAAAACTTTACCCAATGGACTCAGCATTGCACCACAGCCTGGCGGGGCTGGACATGGAACCCAAGAAGTAGATCCCAGGAGATTTCAGGTCACGAGAACACGGTGCATGGCTGGGCTGAGAGCTCGGGCCTGGCTACAGGAATCCTAAGAGCCTGGCAAGACAATGGAACCCCCAGGATGGGAGTTTGCTTCCTGTTCTTCCTCTTCTTTGGCAAATAAACCATAAAATGGAACCTCACTGGCATAGGACTTATATTTTCAGCACCTGATGTCACACAATTATTTTATCATGACTTTAAATGATCAATGAATTCTTCTGGTGAATGAAGGAATTCCAGAGAGCTGGGGGCTGGGGATTTAGCTCAGCGGCATAAGAGCCTGCCTTGCAAGTGTGTGGTCGTGAGTTTGATCCCCGGTACTGATAAAAAAAAATAGAAAAAGACAAAAAAAGGAATTCCAGAGAGCTAGAAAAAGATGGAACACCTTGCCTAATACATATGGGGTCCTATACTTTTCCTTTTGATTCTGGTTTTCACTCATTCTTTTTTTTCTTTTTTTCCTGGTACCAGGTATTGAACTCACGACCTCATTTTTGCCAGGCAGGTGCTTATACCACTGAGCTAAATCCCCAGGCCCTTTCCACTGATTCTTTAGGGAGGTTTTGCTAATTTGGGGATCAGAAAGGAATCTCTGCAGAGAGAAAACAATGCTTTTCTTGACTTACAGAGACTGTGAGGGCTTTTGCCTGGGATGGGTTCCACCTCACATGTATTTCCAGAGGGTTATTCTTGAATATCCGAGTCATCTATATAATTCCTAAGACACACTTGGTCCTTATCATATGCCATGCTTTCCTCTAAGCTCTGGAGATAGGAGACATAGAAACACTTGCTTTCCCTGGATACACACAGATCTGTTAGAAGCATGCCCATTCTACATCTGGATCTAAGGGAAGAATCAAGGTTAAAGGCAGCAATAACATCATGTCACGCTGTCAACCAGGAAGGACATGAGAGACCTCGAGAGGCACCCACTGAACTGGAAGAAACAACCACAAGGAAGGGGCTGCTGTCCAGGGCTGGGCGCTGGGGAGCAGGTATATCAGAGCCCCTGCAGGGTGCAGTGTCAGACCCCTCTGCTCTCCTGAGTCCTCTTTCCTCCCTCACTTGCATCTTCTCTACCAATACCATGGGTTGCTGTGGCTGTGGTGGTTGTGGCTATGGCAGCTGTGGCGGCTGTGGCAGCTGTTGTGGCTGCAGTTGCTGTGGCAGCTGCTGTGGCTGTTGCAAACCTGTGGTCATCTGCTGCCATCGCTCCTGCTACGGCTCCTGTGGCTGCGGCTCCTGTGGCTGCGGCTCCTGTGGCTGTGGCTGTGGGAAGGGCTGCTGCCAGCAGACGTGCTGCTGTCAGAAGCAATGTTGCTGCTAGGCACTGCTGGCCTGGCCGCTGTGCTGACACTGTTCCCGGGAGGAGTCTCAGTCTACTGTCTGCTGCAGAGCTGCAGGGTCAGAAGCTTCAGTGTAGGCTGGTCTCCATCCCATCCACTCTGTCTTTGCTGTGACAATGGCACCTGGACTCCACGGCAGCTTCTTCCCTGACTGGACACAGTGTGTTTAATGTTTCCTGTTCTAAGGTGGTGACCTCCTGAATGCCATGCAAGGACCAGGATGAAGGGTGTCGTGTTCATGAGGTTCATAGTTCAGGTGATGGTTTCCACTGTGTTTTCTGTTTAAACCCTTCTTTTGATGTACCTGTTACTTCATCTGCGTGAACTGCATAGGAAATGCTCCTTCTGTAGCCTGATTGTCTCTAGACAATGTCTTAAAGTTTATTAATAAACTTCGAAAATAATCCAAATGGATGCCTTTCTTTATCTTATTGTGTTTATTTTTATTCATGTGCCACCCCTTATGACCTTCCCCAGGTGTGGCCTTGGAGAATGCACAGATAATGAGGACTCTGTGTGACACACACCAGGTCACCCCCAAGCCTCCACACACACAATGCAAAACAATAAAGAGTGTGGTAAAGGCCCACGCTGATGTGAGGTGCCGTGGACGGGAGGAACAACACATTGCTGCGTGGGGAGTGGGTGTGATTCAGAAGAGCGGGACCCTCTTCCAAAGGAGGTGGCATTTCAAAATAGGTTTGGGGGTTGGTAAGATTTAGGCCAGGGGAGTTGATTGGGGGGCACTTGTTCCCAGAAGGGCAAAAGAGTGAGCAGCAGGGAAATCCAAGACTTGTGTGGGAGCCCGAAAACTACTATGATGCGCAGAGAATCAGGATCAGTAGTCAAAAGCGAAGGAGGTCAGGAGACCAGCGTGATGGTTTGCAAGGCTGGGGTTTAATAGCAGCAGCCACAAAGTAAGTGCCACGGTGCCCTTTAGGCTCAGGTGCTCTCCCAAGCCCACCTGTGTCACAGATCACACAGTGACACAACCACTGCTACTGCATCCATTGCACAGACAGGGACACAGTGCGGAACATCAGCAAGTACCGAGCTCACAGCAAGTACCAGCACCCACAGTGCTGGAGGAGCTGTGACACAGGATGCCTCAGTGCACCTGGGACACTGAGACATGGGACACCTGACAAGGGGCATGGACGTGCAGACCCTGTCAGACCCCTGGGGAGACTGAGGCTGTGTCCTAGGGAAACATTGGCTGAGTGGGATGGTAAGTGCATCTTAGGGATGAAAGCTGCGCCACGAAACCCAATAGATGAAGGCAGCGTCTACACATGCAAGGCCGATGCCCATGATCTGCCTCCCATACACAGAGAGGCCAACATGCACACCAAACAGGTCCGTCTAGAGATGCAGTACAGTAGAAGACACACAGCCATTAATGCCCCTCACGGCGCTCTCCCTCCCTTACCCTGTCATCCTTGCCAGCTTCCTCGGGGTTCTGGAAGCACCCTTGCATAGAGGTCTCCCCTGGATATGACGCAAACACAGTGAATGCTGCTGCCCAGTGTCATCACTGGAAAGGTGGACACACACTGCAGTGTGTCCTCGATCACCTTGTTTCCTGAACCTGACACCATCTGGCTCTTCTCCGGAATTGAATGACCTTGTGCTGTAGGGGCCCTCCTGACCTGTCCAGGCAAGAACTTTGGCAAGGCAGCAGTACTGGTAAGTATGTGTGGTTCTGTTGTAACGCTGTAACAATAAATCATAGCCAACCAGACTGTCTAGTGGTGATGCATGGTCAACCAGACTGAAATGCTAGTGTGTGCCCATATGAAGGAGATAAAGACAAAAACGGTGCAAGTGTGCCATGCTGGGCGCTCTTGCCTTGGGACACAAATTGCTGAGTCCATGCAGGCTCCCCTAAAGCTGCTTCCTGGGAAAAGGCCGTGGTGTCCCACCTCTCTTGATGGATCACAAAGACATCACAGCTAAAGAACTTAAAACTGATACTGCTTTCAGAGAACAAACTGAAATGAGGTGTTGTGGATTTTCGCAAACTTTTTAAAACGTCATTTATGCAGGGGCAGGTTCTGGTAGGAAAGAAGGACATGGAGCATAAAGTCTCTCATCTCTCCTCTGTTCCTCCTGGCGGGTGCCCTACCAGGATTATTTATGTACAGATATACAGTCTTTTTGACCCATTTTTATTTCCTAGTGGATTCAAGTTGTATTTATTTTTCAGAAAACTGATTTTTGAAAGTAGCAAATACTTTTGCAGCCTCTCCTGGCCGGTTAGTGTGGCTCCACCTGATCCTTTTGAATGGTTACCTGTTCTCTCTGTCTTTGGATTTGGGTTTCTCGGCTTTTGCACTATTGCTGTCATGCTGCAAAATTCTTTGTGGGGGAACTTAGCTGCGTAATGGCACCCTTGTTCTTTACCAGATGCCACTCATACTGCACTGCCCCTGTGACCAAGCTGTGACAACCAAAACTGTCTTCAGACAAGTGTTCCTTCGAGGGCAAAGTTGCTCCTGGTTAGAAATCACACACACACACACACACACACACGCACACACACACACACACACACACACACAAACACACACATGTACACACACATAAAGTTATATATACAGTTAAAATAAATAACATTTCATTATTGGTAAATATTTAGGGTCAGCTCCATGGCTTTGGGATCCACGCCTGGGACTGGTAGAGCACACACCTTTGGGTGTGTCTAGTGGGTCATGGCATCCTGGCTTTGGGTCCTGGCCTTGCTGTGTCCATCTGGTTTCTGTTCCCTTCTGCTCTGGGGCTGTCCTGGCGCTTGCCTTCCCTGCCACCATAAACTAAGCATTTTTGCCCTGCCATGAAGTATCCACCTTAGAGCCAGTCAATTGTGCACTGAAACTGTGAACCTAATTAAAGCTGCCGTCTTCAAAGTTGTTGGGTGCTGTATCTAACAAAAGAGAAATGATACCCCCAATGGCCTTCTCCTCACACCCCACTTCAGAAAGCCTCAGAGTCCTTGTCTTCTTTACTCCTCAAGTATAGTGTTTTTCCTGCTTTTAAATTTCCATGAGGATTCATGTTAGGGACATAAGCCAGCAACTGAGCTGGCTTGTCATTGCAAGAGGAAATGGAGGTAACTTTCTCATGGACAGAACCAAGCAAAAGTGGACACAAGCTAAGAACCCTGCGACAAAGCAAAAGTCCATAGTGTGGGGTCCCCAGGTGAACTTCCCAATATCTTCATAAGACTTTGAGGAAAGACTTCCTGAGACTCGTTACCTGAAGCTGGGGGAAAGCTCAGTGGTTAGGACCATTTTTTAAAATGCCACCATATTCAGATTAGTTCCTATTTGCGTGTGGTGACTGCTACCAAGGCAAATCCACCTTGGTTTCTTTTAAGGCTTTGTGTTCCCCCTTCATGGTGCTCCTTTAGACGTTAAATATTCCTAGGTAACAACTGTAAAGATAATCTCTAGGCAAAGAAGGTAAATAGCTTTCATTATATTGTGACAGAAGCATTGATCGGGTTTTTCTCCACACTTTGCAGATCAGCAGCTTCTGAGCTCGAAGCTAAAGAGTTTCAGGTGCAGCAGCAGGAGGAGCCCGAAAGCGTGCAGATGTGGATGGGGTCAGGATCGTAGAGATGGATGCATTGCTCCGAACTAATCAGGAAGCCAGCCTCAGGAGTGCTAATGCCTTGTTACCAGAGGGGAGTAACCAGAGGGCTGTGTAGCTGAGTACCAGCCCCTCTCTCTCCACCTCCTCTTCCACCCCTGATATGGTTTACAACCTAGAGCTTTTGCTGCCAGAGGAGCCGGTCTTAGCCTATGTTTTACCTTGGTGTAATTAGAACAAAGTACTCCATCTGAAAAAATAATGCAGCTGTCTAAGATCATCTGTACAGCAGCATGTCAGAAAAACAGACTGTGCTGCATACGACTGGTAGCTACTTCTGACTTTATAACCCCAGCTCCTCAGAGGCAGTGAACACACTGCAAGAGAGAAAGAAAAGCTGAGACTCTCCCAGGAGCCTAGGCATGGTTTTCTATGAATTTGTGAGTCTGTCTATGTGTGGTGTTACGTGCACCAATCACTGCCAAAACAATGTTATATTTTGCATACAGATGGGAAACACAAATGCACAAGTAACAGACTTGCAGGATAAAATGAGAGGCCAGTAAAATCATGTTTCCATCACTGGGAAAGGGCAGAATTACAAAATGAAAATTACAATCCTTTCTGTCTTATGAACATGAAATTTAAAATTCTCTATAAATTATTAATAAACAGAATTTCTATGTATGTTATCTGAGTCTCTTCCTAACGAAGTAAAAGTAGTTTATCAAGAGAAAATATATTAGTGACTACTTTGGAAATCTAAAAGCAAAAATTGATAAGGATACAGAAATATAGAAAGAACATCTGCTAGATTTCCTCTATACTACAAACACATTTGATTTAGAATAGAAGGAAGCATCATTAACCTGATAAAAACAGTGACCAAAACTATAGCCACCCCTGGTGTCAGCAGAGAGGACTTAAGGGGCGAGGGGAGGAGTCTCGGGAGCGAGGGGAGGAGTCTCGGCAGCGAGGGGAGGAGTCTCGGGAGCCAGGGAGAGTCTGATGCCTCCTTCCGCAGAGCGCCCCTTACCTACCAGCTCTGGGGAGAAAAGAGATGGGCGCAAGACCACTTCCTTGCTGGTGTTTGGCTCAACTGTTACAAGGGAATCACATAATGTTTAAACTGAAACGCCTAAAACTGATTGCAGAAAGACTTCTGGGAACCACGCACACACCAGGAAGCCCTATCTACTACCACAGGCAACGTTGGAACTGATGACCTTACACATTTATGACAAATGAACATCATCAGAATCTATTCCTTTAGAGTTCCCAGAAACCTGCTTACTAAAGCCTGAGTGTTGGGGACCACGAATGATACACTGAATCTAGGGGATAGCTATCACAGAATCTAGGGGACATCTATCACACAGAAACTCCCTGC